CACTCCCCACCCCCCCCCCCCCCCCCCCCCCCGTTTTCTTTCCAGTGAAATGGTGGGATTTATATCTGTGGTGCCATGGATTACCCCCCGCTTCTCCCCCCTCAGTGTAGTAGTCTTCCTTTATGTGAGAACCTGTAATAAATGAGATTTTACTGGCTACCTCCATGGCTGACTGTGTTATGTAAATATAATACTGCTGGCCATTTAAATTTTAGAATTATGCAAAGACTTAGCTAGGCATAGACTACTAATGTGACATTCATTCAAAAATAATGTAGTTAAATAGAAAGTTTATAAATCTGAATAGCTGTATAATTTTTCTTTTAAATAATTCTAATAGAATCTGTGGGAATTTGTGAGGTACAGACTGATCTTACTGTTTTGAAGGAACCTATCAAAATAGAATTCAAGAAGGATGGCCTGAGCTACATGGAGAAACTCTTGCTTAAGAAATATAGAAGGTATTGTTGAAGTTGCTGGTACTAATGAAAGATGTCAGAAATACTTAACGCCATCAACAAAAATTCCATTGAAATTTTTAAAATATTAGATATATTATCAAGAATTAAGGTGACTATATACAGTGTGCTTTATTTCAATAAAATAACCATTATAACCACATTTGATGAGTTAATATTGCAGAATTACTACAGAAATAGTATTTGGAGGAATTCTCTGTCCTGGCAGTTTATTGTAGGATTTGAAGACTGGTAATGATATTTGGTTGCTTGATTTTTGGGGCATTTGCTGCAGGAATTTTATAGAGAAAAGGAAGTACAATCTTCAGGATACAAAACAACTCTGTAATGTTTATAACAATTAGTCCCTGAGGTGCAAGGTCATCTCAATGAAATTAGGAAGAGTTGATGCTTTTCAGCAGCAGCTAATACTGCTGCAGTAAATAATGTGGTGGGGCTTTTTTTGTTTTGCTTTCATTTTGCTTTTGTTTTTTTTTTTTTTTTAACAATTGTGATATTATGTATTAAAAAAATGATGACTTTTTAAGATTTATTTCTTTTCCTTTTTTAGAACTCCTGTTGATCAAATTTCTGGTAGTTGCATTAAAGATTTAAGACCTATGCAAACACTGAGTGTACATCAGGCTGTGATTGAAGGAGGGGGAGAAGGAGATGATAGTGATGACAATGTCGATGACTTAACAGGTGTACTAAACTTCTGTTTATTGAATCTAACTATTAAATACTTTTTCTTGGGATTTTTTTTTTTTTTGCTATGATTGCTAAACAGTTGCATACTTAAGCAGTTTCTGCTTAAAAAAAGTAACAATAATGAAAGGAGAAATTTATGGTACTTCATAATAAATAAAAAGTTTGCATTTTTATAAGTGTATCTTGAACAGGAAAAAAAATGCATCAAATTAATTATATTTCATAGTTGAAGAGGTGAAGAGATATTGGACATCTGTTTTTAGAGAGGAAGTACCCAACACTATTTCTGAAAGTGCAGAGTCCTCTTTGAAAATTGAGTTCCTTGATGATGTAAGTATGTAAAAAAGAACTTCATGAATCTTCACAGTGATCTAAAGTGATTTGTTTAAATGTTGATCTGTTAAATATTTAAAGTAGCAGCAGTTAAATAATTTCTAATAAAAATTTATTGGTGCATTGTTTATCTTTTCTGTACAAATGGAGAAAATTTATCTTTCCAAAGGTTGCCTGTAATGTTTTCCTGTTGTGTCCATGGACCCTTAATATATAGAAATTATACAAAAATAAAATCTGCAGGCTTTTAATCACTTGAGGTAATGTTTTTTTGAATTTTAATCTGTTTCTGAATATTGGTGATTTTTTTGTTTGTTTGTTTTTTAATTAGTCTTATGGCAAGGACTTGGAAGAATCATCTAACCTTTTGGAGATGGGAGCTGGGGCTATGGGAGTGAATAAGCAAGGAAAAACTGAACCACTCCGGCAGTGTGGAAGGTATCAGAAATGCAGAGATTATTTGGAAGAGGAAAGGGAATAATCCTATGTTCTGCTTTAGTTATATTCCTAAGAAATAGGCGCTTTTATTTGCAGACAGTCATGCTTCATATCAAAGGGGAGAACTATTGATTGTAAATTGTTTTAAGGCATGGTTAAGATGGTTAAGATACACATCTTCTCACCCTTGGCACAAGACATGGTCCGTGCCAGTGGCATGACACTGCTTTCCTTTCTTTTACATTTCTTGCAAGATTCTGTCTGTGATTGCTGGTTTTAGTCCTTGAAAGTTTCCATTTGAATGACTTAATGATCTGATGACTAGTTTGTAAGGCAGTCTATGACCATTTTGGCAGTTAACAGGCATATGACACGTTTACCATTAAAGTTAGTGAATAGTAAGTTTGTGTCTTTGACTGTCATATACACCGAGGTATATTAATTGCCTGTAACTAGAGAGGTATCACTTTGAAATTTCTTTATTTTGTTTCCTTGATCACTCCAATGTTAAACCAGGTAAGATACATGTCTTTATATGTGTATGTCCTGAATTTCAGGTAGAATTTCTCTTTTATATGCTCTTATCTCAGCAGGAGCAGGGACTAGCATACAAACAAGTCTGTAATTGGTCAGTGTTGTGTACTTTTAAGATACTCTCACTTGAGTAATTCTGTAATTCCAGGCAAAACTAAGAGTCCTAGTAATTAATGATACATGTGCAATTCTTGTGATCTCCCAAAATTTATTTATGATTAGATGTGATCTGTTTTCTTTTATTTTTCTGGTCTTTCCTCCCTCCTCTGTTTCAAAGTGGTTCAGAATGACATAGCGCAAGACCTTTTGCAAAGACAAACTGTAGGCATAGTGAGTAAGTCATCTTGTCATTTAATGTCCACAGCTGACACAATATTTTTTACCTCTTCCTCTTGACAGAAATCCTGTTTCTTCTAAAGAAGTTTCTCAAGGTAAATTTCAAAAACTATTTATTCAGTATACATAAGTGTATACAGTATTATCATTCTCATATAGGATGCAGTAGTGAACTATGGTGGTTGTCTGAAAGAAATAATTAAAGATCGTTAAATTATGTGCCATTCCCTGAACTATGCAGGTCTCTTGATCACAATTTGATGGACTGTGCAAGCTATTTTGAATTGATAGGTATCTGCTGTGACAGTAATCTCTCAGTTGTGAGCTCATAACTGAGGGAGAGACTGCCCCAGTATGAGTTGTATACTGAAAACAGACCCATTATAAAGTAGATTTTACAAATCTCTTAGTTTAACTGTACTGTATTAGGTTTAATGTATGACATATGTCCTTTTTATGTAGAAAAATGCTTTTATATTGATGAATTGAGACACTGTGTAAATGATTACCTGTTCTGCACGAAAAATCATTGTTTGTGTATAAATATTCCAGTGCCTGTTGCATGTCTGTGAAATCACCATGAAAGTTTGGCAGCTTTATTTTGTGACACTCTTGAGGGGTCCCAAAGATCTTACTCTGTGTCCTAAAGCTATGTAAAATATATTGTCACTTTTTCAATATTAAGAAATAAGTTAGAATCTAAGGGTAACTAATTTCTTATTTTTTTTTTTTAAGTACCAAACAATTGATCCAGCACTTCAGGACCTAGCATTTGTTCTCTTTGTGCTTAGTTCAAGAAACTGCTTATTTAAGTCTTCAAATGTGAGAAAGCAAACAAGAGCTGACTAATGAGATGTGATTTATGTGCTTCTTTGGGCACAGGATAAAAAATAAAATGGCTATGTCTTGTATAAACAAAGAAAAACAGCTTGCAGAATCATTCACAGCCTGATAGTATGTATTTCAAACCATTTGCTAGTTTTAAAGACATTTTATGGAATTGCTATTAATGCAGTTCTTATGCTGGCTCTGGCTAAATTACAGCATTCTAAATGTAAGAAATTACATTAGCATGAAGTGGTAGTTGGAAAGGTGTTAAGATTATTATCAAGATCTATTGTTTTCATAGACAGTGATGTACAGGAACATATACATTAGATACAGAACCAGTACTACTACCTGGTAAGTCTAGTCCATGTGTGTTGGTATCTCTGGATATCAGGCAGGAAGCTAATGAAAGTTAACTGGTTTTATTTGTAATTTTGTGGCTTAAGGGTAATTTCAATGGAGGCTTGGTATTTTAAGTTCATGAAGAAAATATAGTAGATTTGTAGGGTATAATTCATATTCATTTCCATAAAAAAAAGAAATCCTATTTTCATGATTTTGTTATACTCTTGTAGAAAGAATGGTGGTCTGCAGTCATCTTGAAACAAATGCCGTGCAAAAGGAGAGTATTAAACTAAAGACTACAAGAAGATCACTTAGATTGTGTAAACTACCTGAGAAGATCTCTAACCCTACTGAACTAATGAACAACAAATATCTCCTTGAGACACAACTGCAGGAAAACAACAAAGATTCACAAGAACTGCACAGTGTCTGCACTAGTCAGAGTGTGGTTTTGCCTGTAATTACAAAGTCTACAGCGGTAAAATATTGTATCTTTGATTGCTAAATAGATGAACTATTTTGCTTAATCTACTTTCCCAGTCTAGCATGAGGCCACATACCATGTTGCTGAATCAGTTGAGAAATGGTGATAGTTGTATGGTTGCCGTGAAATACTCTACCACTTTTCCCCATTCTCCTCTAAAACCCCAGCCCAAAGCAATCAGGAGTACAGTTTTAATCAGAGGATTGTCACTGCATGCCATATTTCATATGTAGGGGATGAAGGCCTCTGCTTTCCGCTTTGTATTGTCAGTCTTCTGTTGACATTCAAAAAAAGCAAAAGAAAAAACAGACTAATCTCAAATAAAAAAAAAAGTGTGTTGGGCAGAAGGCAGCTCTTCTGATGTTCAATGAAATTGAAAGCAAAAAAACATGGAGGAGATTGGGCCATTAGATTTGGCATCATTGTTAAACAGTGGTACTTTAGTTGATGTACACAAAGATAAGCGAAACAAGCAAAAAATGCTTTTCATGTCCACAGTGGAAGGATAGACTCAAACTCTCACAACATTAACAATTGACATTTATAGCAATTTAAAGCATATATAATGCAAAACTTTCTTCCTTATGAATATCTATTACACCGGGCTATCAGAATAATTTTGAGTTTTATGAAATGAGCATTTTATTAATATAAACTTGCAAGGGCAACTGATGAAGTTTCCTGTTTCTTTTCCTGTTTCTAATATCTTTGTGTTTTTTTCAAGTTACAGGATGTAGCCAAAACACAGATATCTGTCTCTACACAGTACTGGGGACTTGAAGGTTTCTTTGTTGTAGGTGCAAACCCTAAACAAGTAATTCTCAAAGCGCATGCTTCACTGTGTGCTCACTTTCCCCCTATGGACAGTAGTATCCCATTTCCAGGTAATGGCATATGAATGAAGTCCTCAAACAATACACATATTTATCACTGTGGCTGTAAGACATCCTTATCTTCATGTAGCTTGCATCTAGCTTACTTTTAGAAGTGACTTTGTTGTAATAGTCATGCCGACACACACAACTGGTGCTGTGGAAGGATAAAATAAATTTACTACCTTGAGTTAAATTACAACAATATAGTACCATAAATTTGTATGCTTCTTTATGTCCCCTGAGAATTTGGTTCCAGTGGGAATTTCTGCTTTTCTTTGTGCATAATATACATCACAAAAAATATGCTTTTAATGGTGTGTGTGAAACAACATGTGAAATGATTGGTAAACATGAATATTAATTTGATCAGGTATATGACTTGAATTTAAGCTTGTTAGTATGTTATCTATGATTTTTTTTTTTTTACATTATGCATAGAAAATTTGTTGCATTACTTCTTTAAATCACACACATTAAATGCAGCAAATAGAGTAACAGTAAATACATATTAAAACAAAACCTGCAACTAATTTCCTCTAATAATTTTTAATTTCAGGAGGTGCAAAGTGGGTTCCTGAAAGGAGCTTAAGTGAATACGCTGATGACTCTCTAGTTCAAGGTGTCTTAGAAAGTCAGTTGATTAGACCCTCAAGTGGTTTAGAGACTCAACATGGAATTTCTCCCCTGATGGTAGCATGGAGGCCATACCCAGGTGAGGAGAGCAACAGCTTTGAGTTCCTACTTTAACAGGTTAATTTTTCTTACGTAAAAAGTAAAAGCACTGTCTGTGATGATTCTGTTGAATTTGGATCATTTTTATATCTTCATCTATGTATTTTTATTTGAGGCATAATAGCTCATATACATGGCATTGTTTTCATAAGAATGGGCTTTGGAGTTAAAAAAATATCTTTCCAGCTGTCACTAATAGTTCTTTTGATTTTGCTTAGTTTCTATTCCTGCCTCTCCCCCATTACTCCCCTCTTAGCTTGAATATTTAGATATTAAACTGTCTAGAACAAGATTATGTATTACCATGTGTTTTGCAGCATATAGTACAATATGATTTTGATCTAGTAAAAGATTTCTTCATGCTGTTGAAATAAGTCTTCTTACATGAGCTATAAGAAACAAGGAAACAAGTAATGCATAACTGCATCTGCACTTTTTAGTTACTTTTCTCAATTTCAACTGTCTCCATCTCAAGGAATGTAGCTTACGTTATTTCTCTCATCCTAAGCAACCAGTTTGGCATTTTAATTTTAAAAAAGCTATGTGTGGAAATTGAAACTGTCAATTTTGAATCCCAGAAAAATATTTGAAAGTGTCTATATTTTATTTATGTTGCCTTAAATTAAAACTTTGGTTCTGTCATTTTTTAAGCTTTTGCATAGTTTCTCCCCTCCTCCAAAATTTGTGCCATTTTACATAATATTTAAATCAAATGTTTTTTTTCTGAAAGATACCCCTGAATTATGAGGTGCTACTTCCCAATATAATTGTAAACTCTTTATTAACATTTATTAATTCATAGTCTTAAGCAAAATTAATAATCTGTTCAGATAAATTCACAATTTTAACTACAATTAATGTCATTAATGAGCTGAGATAAAATTCTCTTTACGTGTAAAATCTTGAATTATTAGAAGTTGTGACTTTTTCTGTTATTTCAGGGAATGATTCTAGAAGACCTTGGTCAACAAATACGCTATGCTGTAAACTGACTGGAAATTGTCCAACAAACACACAGCCAAGACCAAAGAGTTCACCCCTGCATGTGTTTAGAGTTGATACTGAAATATCAAAACGCAAGTGCCTTGACGTAACTAAACAAGATGAGTATCTTTGGGAATATATTGCTGACCAAGAAGCCCTACTTACTCTGGAAGAAGAATTACGAAGTTATACAGGTAAGTAAGCTTTTCCCACCCAACCCACCCCCCATGTTAACGAGTAACATACTGAAAACAAGTAGTTATTTCATTTGCCTTCTCAGATCTAACTGATTTTGATGCAAAAATGTACTAAACCATTTGATGAGGCAAGTCATAAATTTTTTAAATAAGTATCCTTTCCTTGGATATTTAATAATGAACACCCCAGGTGTTGTTAGAAGCTAGGTGTGATCTGATGCAAGGGTAGCAAGAAGGGA